TGCGTGTGCGTGCGTGTGCGTGCGTGTGCGTGCGTGTGCGTGCGTGTGCGTGCGTGTGCGTGCGTGTGCGTGCGTGTGCGTGCGTGTGCGTGCGTGTGCGTGCATGTGCGTGCGTGTGCGTGCATGTGCGTGCATGTGCGTGCATGTGCGTGCATGTGCGTGGATGTGCGTGCATGTGCGTGCATGTGCGTGCATGTGCGTGCATGTGCGTGCATGTGCGTGCATGTGCGTGCATGTGCGTGCATGTGCGTGCATGTGCGTGCATGTGCGTGCATGTGCGCGCATGTGCGTGCATGTGCGTGCATGTGCGTGCATGTGCGTGCATGGGCGTGCATGTGCGTGCATGTGCGTGCATGTGCGTGCATGTGCGTGCATGTGCGTGCATGTGCGTGCGCGTGTGCCTGTGGGTGTGCATGTGAACGTGGGCTTGCGTAAACATGCATGTGCGCACATCCAAAACATGGCCCCCTACGTGCAGCTTGAGATCAGCAACTCCACTTCTTGGAAAATGTGATGTCCCAAGCTTGTCGTTAGGTCATCAGACGTCGGGCAATTCCTGAAAGGGCCTTCATCAGTGACGAATATCCGCCCAAGCACGACTTAGCATTGTAAAGTCTTTCTCAAGTGGCCCATTGCTAAACAAAAAGCTCGGGTGATATCCCCAACAGCATGCGGTGCTCTTTTTAGTGCTCGCACCCCGCAGCCCTCGCAGAACCTCGTGGAACCCTCGTGGAAACCTGGTGGAACCCTCGTGGAACCTTACCTCAGGGCCGCCCCGGACGACCCCGGAGCCTATCTGGGCTGAGACCCCAAAGCTTTCAGCTGTTGGGGAAAAAAAAGAGTTTGAAATCTGCCAACAAGACAAGGACCCCTGACTTCAGCCATGTAGGAAGCACCTCCCAGCTACAAAGACATTGGTTTGTTCAGGGTGGCCAGTTGCGGTCCAAATCGAAGGTGGATTTACTATGAGCAACGCCTGCAGAAACCATGGGCGGATCCAAGCTGGCTCATGTCATGTGTACTTGAATGGCACTGGGCAGACTCCTGTTTGCAAACGGTGCGCGCTTTGATGTGTGCTCTTTCTTTCTCCTCCCAAAAGGCAAGTTTCCTTTCTGCGCATTCCTTTTTCTCAAGTGCGGCTTTTGTCCAAATAATGACTATGCCGAGCTTGGTTGCAGTACTCACCGGGGGCCCTGGATGTTTGGCTCGCCCAACATGCGCCTAAAGATGTGCACTCAAGCATTCGGCTAAATGTCTAGATCCTCCAGCAGAGAGCTTAGAAGAAGTTGGTACCCGATGTTTTTTTCGGTTTTGTCTATTTTAGTAGGGTCCCGAACCCTCCCCAAAAAAGAAACGGTACAAGAAAGGGCACCTAGCTGGGGGACCTAGTAAAGGAGGCTTTCCTTGTGACATCCTTTTCAAGGGCTCCTGGGAGATGGGCCAAAGCACCCATCCTCCCTCCCTCCGCGATTTCAGGCCTCGCCATCGTCTGCGGCAGCCTGGGCATTGCGAGACTGGTCTGAATGGCCTACGCCCAAACTGGGCATCCGGCTGCGCTCAAAAAAAACGGTACCCAAACATAGGTTGCCCTGGTAAGTGGAAACATGGGCCAAAACCTGCGGTTGGCCCCACCTCTCCAATTTTGAGCCACACCCAGTTGGGTGCAGCTAAGCTATGAACCTAACTTGCCGGCGTGGTGGACTTCTTCAGTCCCCGAGGTTGCGTGGGCGCGAAGTGTTTCTGCACTTTCACTCGGCAGGGGCCCGAGATGCACTCGGCATGCCAAACGGTCTCTGGAGAATCTTTGCGGCTGATTTTTCCAGCAGTGAAAGATTCCTTTTAAAACCAACAAGGGGAAAAACCAGTATTCCCAAGCAAAGGAATGGAAGTTGAGAGGAAGCCCCGGGAAAAGGAGCCGGGCTGCGCTGCGCATGTCTCGGACCGCTGCAAAAGTGACTGCAAACCATCAGCCAGAAACCTATCCTCACAACATTGAAACAGCTGCCTACTGTCTCGCATCTTCGTCAGTTTGTGCGCCAGTCTCAGGCGATTCATCTAGGTCATCGGAATGCCTGGCTGAACGCACCAATCTCAAAAACCATTCATGAGCGATTCTATACTCGATGATCCATCATTGGGTTCCGCTTGTTTTTGCCTTTTTCGCATGGGTCAGGGAACGTACTAACCCCGCAGCAAAAAAAAACAAAAACAAAAACGTGTTTCCGGGAAGCCTTGCCAAGCTTGAAAAGGCCCACACATCCGGGATCGGAAGACTCCGAGATCCGGCGATGACAACAGCCTCGCTTGTGCCAAGAAAGGAACCCACTTCCTGTGTTGGACAGTTGCCCTTTTTTTTCAGCAGCCAAACTGCTGCGGTTTTTCCCCACATTGCACTGTGCCGACATGGCATGAACTTTAATAAGGAACCGCCTCCAAAGTGGTTGGTGAACATAAATCCCCACCTAGATGGTGTCCACCACAGGGTTCCTTGTTCACATTCACACCCATATGAATTGCTTTGTTTGCACAAGGACTCCGTCTGTGGGCGACGGCGTGCAAGTCGGGCCCCGAGCCATGCTGTACGCAACACAAGCTATGCGGAACTGTGCGCTAAACCCGATTGTCGTGGGCAAAATCGAGGATAGCAAGGGAAAGGAGCAGAAACCAGTGGCTGCTTCGTGACTCATGGGAGGCTTCTGAGACGCTTGGGTTTCTTTACTGGCATGTGGATCCACAAGCATTGTGGCCTTAGTGGCTTTCCTACTGCGGGATGCGTCCCTCAGCCATCAGTTCGGGTGTTGAGCACCGGTTGCTGTTGGATGTCTCGTAGACATCTCCCATCTGAAAGTGGCTCACTTGCTAAAAGCCCTTCACAGCTTGGAAAAGCTATGAGCTTTGGGCGACTTGAGCCACAAAAAACAAATGTTGCTAGTTCATGCCTTGGCGCAGGATGGGATCGATGCTCTTGGAAACTCGCTTGGACACGCCGACTGTACCAAGGTGTTGGCAGCTTTACCCTAAAGCCTCAACTGGTATATACACGGCATGGCCAAGACCAACAGTAAATCGTGGCCCACTTGTTGCCGCCGTGTTTTTTTGCGATTGTCGAAGCTGCCGCTATTGATGCTAGTGTCGCGTGCGTTGTCGTCGTGCGTAATGTTGTTCTTGCTCTTGTCGTCGTTGCTGACGTCGGCGGCATCAGCGCTTGCGTTACTCACTGGTGCTGATGAGATGGCAGATCTTCCCATTGATGTGGCTGTCATGTTCATAGGTGTCCTTTTCGGGGAAACAGATGGCCCTGGTAGATGATTAAACCACCAGGAATCGCCATCTATTCTTCAACCAAAACAACCAAGAAGGACACCTGGGTGTGGCTCAAAATTGTAAACCACCGCAAAACCACAGCTTTTGGTCCTTCCATTTCGCAGGGCAGCCCATTTTGGGTACCCCTTTTTGACCACCACGGCCACCTATGGCTTCGACTGCCTCGACTGCTCGCTCGCTTGTGTCCGGCCTCCTGCGCCTGCGCGGCTTCCAGGAGCTCCGGCGTCACCGGCACCGCGCGGCCCTGGGGCAGCGAACGGCTTGGCGCCGAAAAAACGGGCCGGAAGGTGCGTCGGGAGGGCGCAGGCCGGCAAACCAAACCAGGATGGGTGCGGGTCAAAATCAAACCAGGAATTGGACTTCAGGTTTTGGTCCATGTTGCCGCTTTCCAGGGTTCAATTTGGGGTACCTATTTTTGACCCACAGCCATGCCATGATAGACTCAAAAAGAGGCCGCCATTGAATCAGGGGAGAGGCTTCTTCCTCCTTGATCCAAGGATTGCATCAGGGATTGATTGGCTTTGTGGCGAAAATCAGGAAGCAGGACTGAGGGTTTTAGCAAAGTTCCAAGGGCCGTGTGTCTGAGATGGTCATCCTGCAACTTCCCTCCCGAACTTCTCACGCATACTTGGCAGTTGAGTCACAATCAAAACCCGGTACTAAAATGGTCTACCTAGAACCATGTAAGGAATCAAGAAGGCGGCCGCCGTTATGTATGGTTGGGATCGTCCTTTACTAAGCTTCATCTAACCGAATCGGTGTTGAGCACGTGGCTCACTTGTCTTAGCGATCGCCGCATGGCTCCGTCGATCCATCGATCCATCGATGCTGCCTGCGACATCTGCGGCCCAAAGCCCCGGAGGGCAAAGTGCATAAGCTGCAGGTGCCAAAGCCTCCGTCCGAGTCGACCGAATCGAGTCCCGGCAAGCAAAGAGAGCACCATGGTCTGCATGAGCTCGTGACAGGGGTGCACAACCCCTTTTGGCAAACGCGTGTGTATATATATATATATGCTGAATTTGCATAATTGTCATTATCAGTATCCCTGACACTATTGTGATTTATGATTATGACTGCTATTGTCGTTCTCAAACCCTCCTTGGAATTCCTGGTTTATTCAGGGGAGTTAGAATATTCGCTTTTGGATTTGACTCCAACTGAGGGGATCCTCAAAATGGTCCGTTTTTTGCTTTCCCCAAAGAAATACACCGGCAAACATCCACGCGGCCTCCAGAAGCACCCTTTGACCCCAAAATGGGTCAAAACGGTGTTCCGCTTTCAGTCCAAAGGGGTGTCTGAATTCGAACTTTCTGGGCAAGCAGGGTGAGGGGGGGATCCCCAAAATAGCCATCACATTCCTGGTCGACGTGCGCGCGCGCGCGCTCGCGCGCGCGAAAAATTTTTCGGCCGCCTCTTGTGGGCTCCAGCCGCTCCGGACTTCGCCGCTCTTCGGCGATCTTCAGCTCTGGCCGCCGAGCGGAGCAGAAAACACCCAGGCTGAGCCAAGCACCACATGTGGCTCATGCGATTCAAATTCCTAAGCTCTCCGCTTTCAGCTCCCCCCACACAAAAGCGATGATTTGTCTGGTGGGTGAAATTCGGAAACCCCACCACCAAACCAACCAAAAAGCTAAAAGAAGCCGAGGGACCGGATGGCTGGGAATCTTGGTGGCATTCATTGTCACTTGGCATTCATGGAGTGGAGTGTTGGGCACAGCGCATCTGTTTTTCCAAGTGCGCGGGCCTCAAAAGAAGCTAAGGATTGTCTGGATTTACCGTCTAGAAAACGGCTTGGATGCGGTTTTAGTGGATCCATCCCTGTAGGATACTTCAAGAGTACTAAAAGAGTGCTAGCAGGGGGAAGAACAGATTCCACAAAAACCGCATCCAAACTGTTTTCTAGAACCCGTGTTTGACAATTATCATGAACATGTGAATGAAGCTCGCGTGCTTCTGAAGCTCAGCTGGCGGCTCATTGGCGAAAAACACATCTGCTTTGCTCGAGTCAGACTCGCGAGATGTCGTCGCGGGGCTGTGAGCTGGAAGGATGTCGGACTTCTCCGAAAGACGTGGCTCTATCACTGGTCAACATGGTGAGCAAACAAAATCAAGGAATCTGCAACAATTTTAGCACATATCTCCAAAACCTGAAATAATTGGTCCCGATTTCTTGAAGGATCTTTTTTTCATCGCCTTGGCTTCAGCTCGCCAATTCCCGGCGCTCAGGACAAGTCCACCCGGGACTGGGGCGAACGGGGGCTGTCGCCGCCGCGCAACTGGAAGCGCCCTCGGCCCCAAGGCATTCCACGCACAGGGGGTGATGCACCAAGCGGGCGCTGGAGGCGAGTTTGTTTTGGGGGACCCCCCCAAAAAGAAACACACACGACAAGAATGTGTGGTGCCCCCCTCTGCCTGGGTTTCCAAACAAAAACATGGTGCCCGCCTTGGTGTCCTTCGAAACTAGCAAGAAGGGGTGCCCTCACAGCGGCAATTTAGGCACTTACAAATCGACACAGGGAAAATCCCACATTCCTGATGGCAAATCAAGCATGCTGTGAAGGTGATTGCAACATGTGATAGCCCCGAATCAGGGTACAGCAGGATAGATGAGTATGTGCGGTGTACATCGGGGGGTGCGAATATAGATAGGGTATGCATAGATACATAATATACATCATATGCATGCATATATATATATATATGTATAAATATATTATATATATATATATATATATCTATACGTATGCACAAATATACTGGTCATGAGCCGCATCAGCACCACGGTATGCCCAGGCGCCCGCGAGGCGCCGGGCCTCCCGCAGCGCATCGTGGGCCTCCGCCTCGGGCTACAGGTTGAACCGTTGCCACGAGATCTGTGGGCCAAGCTAAAAGCAAGAATCTACTTGGTTGACGTTGGAAGGGGAGCAAAAAATAAATATATAAAAAATAAAGAAATTAGCAGTTAAGTGTTTGGGTTTCAACCACTAAACCACAATAAGCAAAAATGTAAAATGTTTCCCAACACCAACCATGCCTAGGGGTTGACTCCTTTTCCATTATTTTCCACCATCGTTCTTTTCAAAAACCCACCTTTTCCCTGGGTTTCTGGGGTTTCTGGAAAGAAGGATCCATGGACAGAATGGGGAAGGTACCCTTAGAAAAGGAACAAAAAAAGCAGCAGCCAAGAGGTATCTGCAAGGGTGCCAGACTTGATGTTCTTTCTTTCTTTGCACCATCCACAGGGCAACTGTACTGCTCCAGACTGTTTTCTTTCTTTATTTCTTTCTTTCTTTCCTTATTTATTTCTTTCTTTCTTTCTTTCGTTCTTTCGTTCTTTCTTTCTTTCTTTCTTTCTTTCTTTCTTTCTTTCTTTCTTTCTTTCTTTCTTTCCTTCTTTTCCTTCTTCCTTTCTTTCTTTCTTTCTTTCTTTCTTTCTTTCTGTCTGTCTTTCTTTCGTTCTTTCCACCATCCAGAGGGCAACTGTGTTGTCTACTGCTCCAAACTGAGACCCCTGCAAACAGTTGATCAAACGTGTTGCTGCCGCAAAACGTAGCAGAGATGCTGGTCCAAGACGAGCAAACCAAAGAACTGAACTTGGGAGACCTGCAAAAAGTCCGCCTGGGTTTTCACGTTTTGCTGGTATGAAGCAAACCCACAAAGGTGTTGCGGTCAGCTAAAGTCTGGCAACGCTTATCAGAAATGGATCGAAAGGAGCCCCCTATTTAAAAGGAAATCAAACGGAACCACCACCCCCCCCCCTTTCCACATTTTCAGAAGCCCCGTTTGGTTTCATTGAATGGTGGGCACCCCGGGGGGGGATCTCTCTCATGGCTTCTCTATTGAAAAGGAAACCAAACAAAAAACAACAAAGGCCCTGCTTGGGACCTGGACCCGTTGCCATGGTCCAAACCTATGGATCTGCAGGTTCGTGTCTCACAAATCTGAGACGCACTTGGCGCAGGGTCTTTTAGGAACCCTTGAGGCTCCCCCCCAAAAAATGTGATTTCCACGGGTGTCCCTTCAAAGCAAGGCGAAAAGAATTGACGAAAGCGCATGCGGAGCACCCTCCCATGGCTGGATACACTTCCTAAAGAGTACACAAACCTCTGGTGCCTGTGGAGAAAAATTGGTGCTTACAAGAAAACTGCCCCTCCAAAGGACCAAAGGGGGCACAAAGGGCACGCGGGTGCGTGTGCTTCCTTTCCGGTGGCAACCGAAAAAGGCCTGAGGAGTTGGAGCCGTCTTCGGGGTAATCTGGATCCGACTCGATCTCGATCCGCTCATGTCTTGTCCGACTATGCTCCAACCTTTCTTCTCCAACCAATATAGTGGCATTGGGACTTGGGTCCCACTGGATGCCCTTTATATCCCAAACAAGCCAAGCCCTCAAAGATTCAGTTTCAGGATATTCAACTTGCGGGATCCGGCGAAGTGACTCGCAACTTGGCTGAAGATGGTTGCCCCTTCCCGACCTACTCAATGGTTGCTTGCTTGCTTGCTCTCGAACCCAAAAAACATTGCTGACCCTGTCAAAGTTTTTCTCCGCGGAGGATGAGCCCCATCTCCCGGCACGAATCGATGTTTTGAAGACATGAGGATCCAGAAGCTGCTGACAAGCAGCTCGGGCCACATAGTCCACCTAAGGGCGAAAGGCACACAGCCTCTGTAAGGTAGGTGGGGGGGGGGGAAAAATACATAAAATGGCACTTCTAACATCAAACCCAAATAATCAAACAGCATACAACAAAATCAGCAAAATTCACAGAAAACAAGATAAGAACCACCAAGCAACTCAAAACCAGAACAACCCCCAACAAAATATTTAATCAAAGCATAAAACATTAAATAATTCAAACAAGCATACCAACAAAACAGCAAAAATAAAAACCATCAAAGAACACAAACTCAAACACACACATCAACAAAAAGCAAAGCAACATACCAACAAAAAATATCAGAAGAGTATCAAACAAAATAAAATACAAACAGCCAAAGCACGAAAAAATCAAAAGAGCATACCAAGTTCAAACAACGCACTTTGAAAGAGTCAGCCAAATCAAGAAAAAATAAAATATTTCAATCTTTACAAACTATAAGTACAGTATAATTATAACATATAAAATTTTACATGTTATTATTATAGTATGATTAACCATTATGACTTATTACTGTTTTTTAATGACAAAGTTATGTTTTACACCATGTTCCAAACAGAATTGTGCATCCACCATGCCCGTTTTTTCCTTCCACCATCGGTGGAAACCCTGTAAAAAACAGCATTTCCACCATGCGCGTCTTTTCTTTCCACCATGCACGTCTTTTCTTTGCACCATGCACGTCTTTTCTCTCCACTGTGCCTACTTTTTCCTTACAAGGTGATGTTTGCGGTTTTCGTAAGTTGTTGATTTAACATGAAGAAATGTGTTTCCATGCTTCGTGTCTAGAAATAGCACCATGTTGGATTTACAACCCCGCTGGCTACATTTTTTCACAACAAAACCTATTAGCGTCAGATGAAACTCACCAATATTTCACTAATTAATTCGCTAGGTAGTTTATATAAATCTTCCTGCTTATGTATTATTGGATTGTCTCCCCATTTTTCCTTAGTGCCCGATGGTAGCCGTTGTGCTGTTTCAATATGTTTATTATTCCTGATGTTGCCACAATCCTTTTTACATAAATCTTTAGGTTTCCAAGTTGTAATGTTATTCCATAGCCTAGTGCGTTTTCTGTAATTAAATCCATATTTACAATAATCTACATCTTTAAAATCAAACTCATCCATAAACTCCTGATTTTTTAATAATCCAGTTTGAGGATTTTCGATTACAAAATATTTAGGATTAAAATATTTGATAATCTCAATAGTTTTTAAGACAATACTATTTGCATATTCGATATTCCTAATGCCCCTAGTTTTTGCTACACTATATTCAGTGCATGGAGGACTACTCCAGATAAAATCAAAATGGTTCCTATCAAATTGTTTATAATCCCATTTCAAAATATCAGTATTTATATCAGCATTTTTCAAATCCAATGAAATAACATTGAAACCGAGCGACTTTGCAACAAGTCCAACACTGCCTGTTCCGCTAAACATCTCTAATAAGTTCATTATTAAAGATATTTAGATAATATTATCTATGAGTAAATGCAACTTTATGAATAAACCCCTGTATCTTCATCATAGTCGATTTGATAAAATGTCATAGTTGAAGCCTTCGGTTCTTTAATTTCTTTGTTATTAAGTTTGTTTAAATACGTTTGTTTCTTATTTTTATATTCAGCACTGGTTCTATCTACTTCTTTACTTTGATAACTGTTTGTTAATGGTTTCTTCTTTTCCATTTCTTGCAAGATTTCTAAAATATTCTTATTCTGTTCTAAAACCTTGTTCAGTTTTTTAACAATCTTTTCTAATCCTTCATCCATGTAAATATATATTATATTATAAAATAAAACTTTTAAAACTAAACTTTTATTTTACAAAATCATATATCATTATAAGTCAATTCAAAATTAGTTATTGTGTAACTCGTTAAATTATTATTCAATTTACCAATTAAATTACAAATAATAGTTTTTCTAAATTTTGAATATTTATGAAACTTTTCAATATTATCTGTAATATAAATTATTAAACATTTAATACATTCAAACACATTAACAACATTAATGTTACTATTTTTGTAAATATTATTCATTTTTCTCAATGTAATTTCATAAAACTGAATAGCATTTTTATTATCATAATTAGCAATAAATCTTAAAGTATATGAATATATTCTTTTACAATAAAATTTTAAATCTGATTGTTCAAATAAATCAGCATAATTAATAGAATTATAAAACATGTTAAAATCAATTTTGCTATTTCTAAAGTCATTAACAAAATTAATTAATATATCATTTTCGTTATATTCTTCAATAAAATTATTCAATTTCAATTCTTTTACATCAATGAATTTAAGAATATTATTTATACCATCTTGCATTATAAATAATAATAGAAATAATTTTAACTATTGTTTTTCATCATTTCGCGTATAGTTTCCTGAGTTTCCTTATCACTATTATCGGTTGGTGATGCATGCCGTCCCCATTTGATAGCAATATTATGAACATCTGTTTCTAAGTTTATACTGTCTTTAGTTTTATCAATATTCATTTTCTTATCATTTCTACTTATTTTGAAACTGGTTGGAATACACGAACATTTACAATGTCCTTTCTTTTGTATTTCTAATTCATTTTTTAATTCTAACATCTTTTTACACATTGGACAAGCAAACTCAATAACTGATGTTTCTTTAACAATTTCTTCATCAGTTGAAGAAACAACTGGTTCAGTCTTATTCTTTTTCTTTCTCCCCATCTATATTAATATTTATATTTTTAATATATTGTATCACAAACTTAATTAATTCCAAAACAAAATAGCATACTTTCTTAAATCTATTATCAGTTATTAGTACTTGTTCTATATTCTCCATTTCATCTATTATATTAATATAATCTGTATAACTCCTTTTCATATTAAATAATAAGATAAAATAGTTATTTAATCTTATTATTTTCATGCATAATAGAATATTGGTGGGGCTCAGCACTGGGGTTTTCTTTACAATGCATCAAACTGATTAGCTTCAATGCTTATTGATTGAAAACAATGGAAAGCCTGTTCCATTTTTATGATATTCACTGCCAGCATATCATAAAAAAGATGTTCCATTAATATTAAATAGAATATGTATTTAAACTATTTTCTTTAGTAAGTTTTATTGCAGTTGATAGACTAACATCTCTAATATTAATATCAATAACTTCTTGTACACTACTTATCATTTCATTTGTATACATATCGGGATAATCTTTCATAAAATTTACTAACTTTCTAAAATTAAAATCTAGGTTATTGTCATTTTCAATTGACGACTTGGATACTACGATATTTTGATTTTTAATTGCCGATAAAAAGTATAACATCGTATCATAATATATTTGTTCAGTGTCGGGCACTAAGATATCACCAAATTTATATATCCTCCGAATACTAGCCACTTCACTTAAATTAATAGTTTCTATTGCCATTATGATATAATTATATTATATTTTTTATTTTATAAGTATTTATAATATTATTTTTATTATGCCTGATGTAAAACCAATTGATGAAATCAAATATGACTTTAAGCAAAGTAAGCATGAGGTCGTCCCTAAATTGCCGATGAGAGCTATGATCGTCGGTCCATCTGGAAGTGGAAAATCAACTTTACTTGTATCAATGATACTTGATATTTATAGAGGAGCATTTGAAAGAATTTTTATCTGGTCTCCATCTGTAAATTTAGATAGTATTTGGTTGCCTGTTAAAAAATACATTAAAGAAGGTTTGAAAGTAGATAATGATAAAGAACCGTGTTGGTGGGATGAGTTCAATGTTGAAGATTTAGAAAGAGTTATAGAAACTCAAAATAAAATAATTGAATACCAGAAAAAACAAGGAACGAAGAAATTATTTAATATTTTGGTAATTTTGGATGATGTATCTGATAATCCAGCAATAACAAGAAATAACAAATTGTTAAATTCTTTATTTTGTAGAGGTCGTCATAGTGGAATATCAACACTTGTAAGTCTTCAAAAATCATCAACCGTACCACCAATTATTAGAGTAAATATAAGTCATTTGTTTTATTATAAAGTTAGAAATTTTAAAGAGATAGAAATATTGCAAGACGAATTATCAGCAATTGTTAGAAGCGATAATTTACATGAAAGCAAGAAACTAATTTATAAAATATATGAGACTGCCACTGATGAACCACATAGTTTTTTATATATTAACCTTTTAGAAAAGAATCCAGATAAAATGTTTATGATTTTTTTTTCTCAATATTTGAAAATTACTAATTAAAAAAATAAATATATTAATATTATATGATATTTTATTATTTACCAATAGAAATTAAAAACATAATAATATCGTATATTTTAGATGATGTTAGATTATTAAAAATAAAAAATAATAATATTATTAAAAAATATATTAATAAATTTAAACCAGTGTATAAGTCTTACAAATTAAATAATATGCAATATTTTGAAATTGATAATATCAATATTAATAATGGTATATCATATATTTTTAACTTAAGTGACTTAGGTAAATTACATCAAAATCATAAACCATTAAAATTATTAATTGAATACGATATATTAGCTACATCTACCTCATTTACTTGTTTGAATCATGTTCGTAATCGTACTTTAACATCAAATAATTTATTTGATATTTATTATTTTCTGAATAAAGACCTTTATGAAACTAATTTAACGTATAGCCGTAATATGGTTAATTTTATGTCATTACAAGTTAAACAAATAACTATTAAAGTCATCAATTATGAAAGACAAAGTTTTATTAGTAAATTTTATTCATATTTGTTTAATTAATAATGTTAATAACGTTTAATATTATTAATTCAGAACAAACTATAACTACACAAATTTAACGCTGGTAATTTATATATTAATTTGTCACATTTTACTTTCTCCAGTTTTTCTAATCTTTCACTCATTTGTTTAATTGCTTTTAATTGTAATTTATCAATATTACTTAAATCTAATTGT